AGAGCTCATAAATTAAAATTAGGAAGAGCATTCATATTAATTGACTTCAGGCATGTTGAGCTGACTCACATTTTTACAATTGACTTTATTTATATTTTTCGACCACAGCATCATTGCGTCAGAGAGTTAAATCCTTGACAAGCATATGCATCTTAGATTGTTTCAATATAAAAGCATTGTTGCGATCTCAGCATTCTTTGCTTAATTAAATTAGAGTAATACCAATTACAACTGAAACGTCTGTTAGTTTTCATTTACCAAGAAAAATAAATGTACATACTTAGTACAGACAAACGAATGAAAGAGATAGAGAATTTTAGGCAGAACTGGCAAAACTACGCATTGAAATTTATTCAGTAGCTTCTGGTAACATCTACGAAATGTATTTAAGGGCTAAAATGAGGGTGCATACGTAAGAGTCGCGGAAGAAAGTGGCGTTAAGCAAGTATAAACACACTCAGGTAGACTGTCATTAAAATTATAATAGAGGCAAGATTACATTGCTTATACGCCGTGTGCTTGTATACTATGGAAAACGCTGTGAAATTGGGTTCGCATTAAGTTTTTCCCCCTACTTCTGAGTGCAAATAGCCCAAAGAATAAGATTTAAAATATCTTCCAGCCAACGGCAACGCAGCTGTGCTAGGCAATCATAGCAACAAGAACAAGAGAGTAACAGCAATGAATTTCAGCAAGCTGTTGACAAGGCATGGAATAAAAATTGGAAAAGGGTGAAAATGCATCCAAAAAGTTTGGGCTTTTAGAACGTTTGTCGTATGCCATAAGCAAAGAAAAATCAGCGAAATCTGAGAGATCATCTTTAATCCGAATTTTCGTTTGTCTTTTACATATTTTGCGTACTGTGGAAACTCTCATAACATTTAAAATCTATACACATAATGTTCCGGACAAAATCACTGCGACGCTGGCATTCTGGTCCCGGTTGAGAAAATAATAATCTTAGGTAAATATTGAAAATCTTAATTCGTTATCTTAAGGGTACAATAATAACAAGTAAGAGGTTCTAGTCGGGAGCTCCCATTTTGGAAGGGTTCAGGGTATAAAAATATGCGTATACTTTTCTGCAATATAATATTGTACTTTGGTTCGCACGTTGCGAAGGATATACTAATTCTGAATCTTAAAACATATTTTAACTAAGAATACATTCTCAACCTAAATGCGAGCAGTATGATAGCCAAATAAGCTTAAGACATTAATTTCAACCCAGCTGTCAAGTATACAATATAAATGCAATAAACAGTATCTAAATGAGCTACTATGAAATATTTCTTAATATTGTCTTACGGTTGTCGCTATGTCGCACACACAAACACATAGTTGTCATTCAGTTGTTTTTTAATTTCTTAGTCGTTACACACGTTTTATACCCAGCTATGGCACACACACATGCATGGGTAAGCCGCCTTAGTTGCCGAGTAATATTTAAATTAAACGGACAGACTCTCCGTTATGCTACAATGTTGTGCGTATAAATAAGGGAAGGCAAGCCCTTTTGACCTGCACGTGTCAGAGGGAGCTGCTCTCGTATTGCTATTTTTTTTCACTTAAGTTGGAAAGTGGCATCCATTTGTGGCACAGTCACGCTCCCTGCCGAAACCACGTTCCTGCCAGTTGTGCTTGCAGCTGATGCGCTCGTCCCTTATTGTTGTAGTTTGCTGCTATTGCTTCTGCTCCTGTTGTCCTTTTGTATGTCATATTTTCCGGGTAATTTACATTCTCATCATAGTACAATCACAAACACACACTCATGCAGAGCGAACAGGAGACAGCTACCTGAGCAACAACAAACATCAAGCAGATAGCGACAACGGTGTCCTATCGCTCCCCTTTACATTCACTATCACTGAACTTAAAACAATTTTAAAATAATAAAAAAATCATTTCTTATTGATAGCTCGTTATTTCGATCTTGGTTTGGTTGCTTTAGTTCAGCTTTTTTTCATTTTTTATGTGTTGTAAGGCAGTTGTTGTGCCTCATATTACCGCTATATTAAGTGCATACATTTAAGCCCAAACATTTTTGCCATGGGCCAAGGAATTCTGTAAGTTTATTGAAATGCCTTGCATTATTTACCCACTTTTGCATTTAATGAAGAGTTCAGGATTCTGCATTGAATGTTAGAGCATTGTTTAAAGAAGTCCAATGAAATAGTAGGAGTTATTTTAGATTTTTTTTGGAAATGGCTTTACTTGAACTTACAACATTGTTATTTATGTATCAGAATATGCTTATCTCAATACGCAAATAAACTCACTTTCGATCTTGCTACAAGACCTTTTCATATTAAAAGAACGAAAGTTGTTTTTCGCGCAGTACTAAATGACCTACACATATGCATACACTCATATAAATACATCTTAAAGACCTATATCTAATAACATTTTGAGTATAAGATTGAAGTCGATTAACTTCGAAAAAGGCTCTGTTGCAATGAATATTTTCCGCCCTGTTTGCAGCGGAATTTTTTGTTACCCCGACTTATAGTTAAAATAAGTACAGCACAAAGTGCTTAAAGTGGGAAATGTTTTGGCAAGTAGAGTGGCAAATCCTTAAATCACATTTAATGAATTGTAATAATTGCAAATGGGTAGTTGTAGATAGCCAAAAAGTGAAAGCAAGCAAGTGAGGTGAAATTAGTTCAGAAAAGCAAGGAAACTAGAGCATGTCCTTTGTTTAGCGTAAGATTTTTCCTTGCTCTTTCATTTTCTGTGCACTTGTTTGTATTTATGGATGGTGACGCTGCTGAAACGCACTCAAAAATTTATTGCCGGCAACTCAAAGCTCGACATGAATTTTATTTATATTCATGTGAATCGGATTTGTGGGACCCCAAAGATGTTCGAGCGTGAAATATACGAGCAACAGTCGCAGTAGGTGTTGCTGCTCGAATTGCTCGGTAAGGACGCAAAGTCGGATGCTTGACTGAACACAAAATAGAACTGTCGGCATTGTTTTATTTCATTTTTTTCTGGCTGGAATGGGCTTTGGTTCCTGATAGCTTCGAGTTTCAAAGCGTGGATCAGTTCTAGGCCTGTTTTGTTTCCCGCTTTTTTGTTTTTATTTTTTTTTATTTTTGTGTCGCCTTATTTTATTGTTGGGCGTGATACCTTTTTGTAGTATGCCTCTATAATTTGAAATATTGCTATTGTTGTTATGCTTCATGATTACCAGGTGGACCCGGCTGCTCTTGCTCAGTTTTCTTTAATGTTTTATAGCTATTTCGGCTAAAATATGGTCTAGATTATTATTATTTATAATGATTCTGCTTGCACGTTTTTATATCTATGCTAAGTACGGATTAGGGACTTACAGCGGGCATTACAAATGTATCGTCTCTTATACTTGGCGATCACCACGTGAAATAAATATATAAATAATTATAAATAAAGTTTTCGTTTTCTTTGCTGCTACTTTAATCAGCTTCATTTCTCATTAACACGCAATTATTGGCGTTGATATTGAGTAGGGGCCTACCGAGGAAAATATATTGCACTTGATGTTGGGATAAAATGGGTTCCGGGTATCCCTTAGTCGGGAGCTCTCGACTACTGCCTCTTGTTCGTTTTTGTAAATAGGGAGCACAAATTGAGGGTTATTTGAGGTCACGGTTGTCCGTGTAACTAACAATAAGTATATGCCATGAAAGCCGAAGCACAGAATGTGTCAAGCGCTAAGAAATGTTTCGGGATTTATATTTGGATGGAATTGTAGCTGCTAGGGAATAGATAGAGTGTAATAATTACAAATATATTTTAAGCTGCGAAAGCTAATTTATAATATTTTTGTATCATATGTAATTTAGACAGATGCAATTGTAACAATTCAAAACTAATTCAATTTTATGGATACTGTTAAAATAAAAATTCAATCTTTCAAAGATTTTCCAGTAAGCAGTGAACCATTCGTTTTTTGGGTAATATTATCTTTGATATCCATTTATTTTGTAATGAGTCTTGAAATATGGATCATTAGCATAATTCCATTTATAGCATAATTCCATTAAAAGGAAGTAAAATTCATTATAAGTAATTACAAGTTTGTACTGGCACACATGGAGGCAATAATGATTTCACCTGAATTCTCTGTGTATTAGCTCAGATTATTGGCATCATTATAATTAATTTCGGATTATCACCCAAGTTAAAATATATATTTGGACAATTTTTAATATCAACAAAAATACCAGATGCAAGGGAAAATTAACAAATGAAACAATTAACAATTTCAGACATCATTGCAGAACGACCACAGTTGCAGCAACAGTACTGTTTATATGTTATTTTCAATTAAAAATAAAAAGCAAAAAGGCAAGCTCCCCCCGTGGGAGCATTGGGGATTGGTATTCGATTCGTGAAATTAAAATCGAAGCACTTGTAAATGCAAATTGATGTGCAGTTATTAAATAAATGCCTTCGCTTCATTGGCTGCCATAAACGTGCCTCTGTTCGAGTTGGGAGGTCAAACAAAAAGCATTAAGATAAGGAAAATAATACTAACAAACTGGCACATATTTGTTGAAACCTGTATATCAACCTGGCAAGTGCATCTATATGTGCTCAAATATCAATAAAATTCTAAAATATATTATTTCAGTAAAAACGCATATATTTATATGGAGCAAGCCCATACACGATCTCTTTTATTATTATTTTTTTGACATTTTGCGGACAATTTGGTTTTTGGCAGCCGGACTCCCCGAAATTTAGTCTATTTGCACACAATTCTGCAAATCAAATGACAGCTTTATTTATATGCATAAGCAAAAACCACAACTCAAAATACGAAGCACAGTAAATAAGCTTAAATGTGTAAAATATTTATGTACCCTGCACTCATGGGATTTAAATTTCAATGTATGTAAATTGTTCAATGATTCAATTGTTGCGTATACGACACGATATTCAAAAGTGCAGGTAGAATTATTGCAAAAGCCGCGTTGATGTTAATTTCAATTTTAGTTGAGTACTCGATTTTCTTTTCGGTTATAAGTTCAAAGAGAATTTCCTTTTATTAGTTAATAACAGTAATTGGTTAAATTCATGTATGGATACATATACTCATTTGAATGCAAACGTATTCACAATATACTTCGCTCACATTTCATATTTCAACCACTTTCTCCTCCCGAGGGGGGCAGCTGATCTGTCCATAATTCACTCGCATATATTATTTGTATATCTCACCACTTTTTCGTATTTGTAAATGAAAATAAAAAATTAATTTGTTGATATGTTGGCCCTGGGCTGGGCTCCAATTGCCCTCCCCCAAGGCCTGTTACACCTACCAGTTGCAAGCTATAAATTATGTACTGACAGTCGCTGGATAGTCGAGATTGTTTTCACAGTCCTGCATATCACTCGGATTTTGGTATACGATACGATATTGCACAGTGCAGAAAGAAATATAAAAAAAAGCCGCCATTTTAATTGGGTGTTCCTTTTTCTGTTCGGTTATAAGTCCAAAGAGAATTAATAAAATTTTGCCTTTTATTGCTTATGTAACAATAATTGGTTTAATTTGTAATATTGGTTGAATAATTTGTGACATTTCAATATGACTTTGAAAAGTATAAAATACATGCGTAACACCTAAGTAGTAGCAGGCTATATTGCACGAGTATTCAGTCTAGAACGGGAAATTCCAGCATCTTTTTCACAAACAATTTAACAATTACTGTCAGCCAAAAAAATCGTGTATGGTGCATTGCCCGAGGCTTCACTTGACCTTTCACATGCCGCGCCTTTTAAATTTAAAATGATTAATTTGAAAAAATCTACTTTATTTGCTTTTCATATTTGTTTTTGCTTTTTTCCCTTTGTTTTCTTGGCAAGTAATTAGAAGTGATGTCGGCTTAAAAGAAATTCACCCGAGGGCTATTATCTAGCTTGAAGGCAAAGGTTCTGCAGATGAGCTTCAATAAGGACGCCTTCCGGGTTGAGCATGGTAGCTTCGGCAACATGCGTCACATGTTAACCCCCTCAGATACACACACACGCACGACACCAGCTACATCAAAAATAAATAAGTTATGCTGATTTGTATATTTATACTTATTGGCGGGGTTTTAAATTAAAGCTCTGCAAAGACAAGCATGGGTCCCTCTTAATGTTATTTATATATAACTCTAATTATACAATTATTATTTTGTTTTTTCCACTAAATTTGTTATAATTGACAACTAAGACGCTGCTTTCACAAGAATTAACTGGGTTTCATGCCCCAGCAAACCTCTGGCAACCCAGCCAAATAGAGTCATAATCCAAAAAATACACAATAGATACCCACATATGGCGTAGTAGACCTTTATTACATTTTCCTGGATTCGCCTGCTCCTTACCAACCTGGGACTATTCAAATTACAATATCAACGTCGGTTTACGCGGGAAAAAGGTTTACCGCTTCACCTGTCAAGCCCTTAATAAAGACCAAGCAATAGTTTTGTAAGTGTGCGTGTAGTGAAATGTGTAACGCATAAAAGGAGATATCTCCGGCCCTACAAGCTAGGTATATGTATATTCTTCATCAATATCAACAGCCGAGTCGAAACAACCCTTTTCTTCTGTCCATCCGTCTATTTGTCTGTTTCTATGATCTGGCCATATCATGGCCATAATGGCATTTAGAATCTTACTACCCCGTGTCATTTCAGTCGCCGTACACGACAACCGCGACTACCTGTGATAGTACGCTATAGGCTGTTTTCCATACGGCTGTGTGTGCGGGGGTTGAGTTGTGGTCGTCAACACATCATATTCATGTGCTGTATGTCACTTTAATTATTTATTTCATTGACTTAAATAGAATTTTATATATTGTTCACCAATTGGTGTGATAACCAGATTAGGGAGTGTGCTAATAATACACTTATATTTGTATATTAATTGATTAATTTATCGCGTTAAAATTTTTTTGGCATGTCTGCATTAATTAAATAGTGTTTTTTTGACGATGTATCAAACTCTTCTTAGAGAAATATAAAATCGTGTTTTTTTTATGAGGTACATTTTATGAATCAGCTTTTATTATATTAACTGTTATGACTCTTATTATTATTATTATTTATATTAAAAGACCCAGCGAGGATTCTTGTTCTCTGCTGTCGGAGTTACGTAGACAACGCATGTCACGAGAACTGTATGATTAAGTAAGTTTGCTTTTGTAATTTTAATTTGCCTGATATTATTAAAAAAAAAAAACTTAGTTGCTCTGCATATGATAAATTTGCTTCTATGAGGGCTATATTTGAAGAATGACTAATGCATGGCTTATATAGTCCAGTTCAATCAAGATGCTTCAACATTATTTATCGGCCATCATTTCAAATGAATTCCAAAAGAAACACAAACTACAATTAAACGAATTTTGCACAACACAGGAGGAGTTGGACGGTGAGCCATGTGCGGGAATTAGGCCAAAGTTAATGGCATCCACATATAAAGCTGCTTGCTTCAGTATGATTTGGCTTCACCATGCAAGGGCTTTTATTTTGTTGCTGGCCATATTGTTGTTGTTTTCGGCGATGCGGATTGCAGCAGAACTTCCACAACAAATTTCGTGCTGATTGGTTAAACTTTGTTATAATTTCTAGCTGCAATGCAGGGGTGGCATCAAGGAGCGATTTCCAAAACTTACGACAATCCCTTCAAAGGGATAAATAAAACGGTTTGAATCGAACAGAAAGTTTGCAGACAACTTTTGCAGGCTTAAACAGCCAAAGTGTGCATAGTTGTTAATCGGATCGTGCGATTAGCGTATTTTTTGCAAATAGCATTTTTTTTTTTTCAAAGTACACTTACTACTAGCATGTTTTCTACAATCAGCACAAAAATTGGTGGTTTTATTTGTATTGAATAAACCTATTTGGTAAGTTTGTTGTATATTTTAGCTTAGGGGCTCGTCGAGAGATCAGGGTATTAAGTTTTGCTATATAATAATATAGTTTCAGACTTATTTTTGTCCCTTTCAATTTTAACCGAAATATATTTCCTTCTCAGCACCAACACCTTTTTCGTTAGCTTTCTTTTATAAACTGTCAATAAAGCATTACTTGTTCTATTTATTACAGTTGAATATAGAGGTAATATGTACATTTTGTTGCTTGTTTCGTCGTTTCTCAAAGAAGAGAACGCAATGTCAAAGTATTGACAATTGACATCAAATGCCTACCAAATTGTATTCCAAACAAAGCGGGCTTGGAATAATTTTAATAATAATAATATAGAAATATAACAAATTTTGAAATTTTAATAATAATCTTCGAAGAATTGTTGGTCGGTAACATTGTTCGCCACGGACATGCCTTACAGCTATCCAAATAATTCGAATGCTTGTTTCTGAGATAGCATATAACCATGCCATTGGGCGTTACCTGAAATGCATTAACAGCATGAAAATTGTATTATTTTAATAAATGTAAGACTTTTTTCGTTTTTGCGATTACATAATCCATGTATTTTTATTTTTCAAATCGCCTGCGCTCGCAAAATGTAATTAATTAACTTTCACAACTTGGGAAAAGTGCTATGAATCAAAATCAAAATAAGGGAAGAAGTTTCTTAAAGTTTTATTCAAATTAAAATAGAAAATGTGTTGCCATCAATTGATGGGTGACGAATTAATTGAAGGACAATTTGGACAGTACGAGAAAATAAAATAAATCAAGCAATAAAAAAATATATATATATAATATTTATATAATGTTAACTTCTTAAACAATATTAACTGTTCTTACTTTAACAGGGGACATAACAACCTTTATGTAGAGGAAACACTATAGCCAAATAATTAAGCTCTAGCTTATGTGAACTTAAGTAATTTTTGTTCAAAACGTTTCTATGTAGATATTTTGGTACTGTTGTGCGCCAATTTAATCTGCACTTGTAGAGCATCTTTAATTCTATCTCTAACAAAATATGAAATTCATTTTTTAGTACCCTATTATTCAATTTTGTCAGCTCGACAGAACTAATGAATCTGACAGGAGCGAGCTGATTACAATTGTAAAATTTGAAAATAATTTTTTAAAAGCATCTGACAGTGATGTGCTATCAACTGTCGCATACAGACCCATACCGCATTTTGCATCCTTTCTGGCAAAGTTTCTTCTAAAGCAAGACAAGTCACGCAACATGGTTGAGTGGAGGCAGAGTGATACACAGCTGGTATAAATACACTGGCGTTGGTTGTATAATCCCCTTGGCAGCTTACAAATGTGCGCACATCCGTTTTCCGACCGCTGCACAGCTGCCCATTCCCAGCTGCGGGCTAACAACAATAGTCGAATCTGAGGAACCTGCCTTCCAACAGACAGAACGCAAACAAACGCATTCCAGTTGGGCGAATGTGTTGAGCTCACAAAGTTTCTGGTCCATTGCCGTCACCTGGCTACAACTCTATCTGGTATCTGTTCCATCTACAATTAGGTTGGGAAAATCAGAGCTTGCACCGCGTGCAAATTGCTTAGCGAAAGCAAACAAATTAATCAAAATCAACTCGAAGCTGTGCAACTGAGTGGGCTTCGAGCACTGTTCCATGTTTTTCCAGAATGCTCTCTACCAGTGCCCAGGCCAGACGATTTTTAACTAACTGCAGTTGGCTTGGCGCCGCACAATGCTGCTCTTTCCCCATTTTAACCTTTGGCTCAACAAACAACTTTTCATGGCTTTTGGGTTAAACCACCCCTCGGGATTGAGTGTGTAAAACAAGGTTGGGCCTGGACTTAGATGACGCAAAGCCACCGAAAAGGTGAGGTTGTCATGGGGTTGTCTAACGTGAACTGAGATAAGCTGGAAATGCTGGTCAACCAGCGAAAAACAGGGCTTCTGATAGCTATGCCAGATTTGTTTTTATTGACTAATGATCCACTTGCTCGCAATCTTCTAACTCTTTTTCACTGCTTAACCGAAAGCAGGAGTGTAATATACATTGCAACAATATATACTGCTCACTACAGCAGCACTGAGCTGAGCAGCACAGAAAACAATACAATCACAATTGCAGTGCTGTTGACAGAATTCAAAGATGAAGCGCGCGAATGCGTGTGTGTACATGTATACAAAAATTCTTGCAATTTGCGCTAGCGGCCGCAAAGACGAGGCCAGCTAGAACACAGTTTCTTTAAAACCTTAACCTTCTTAATGAAATTTTTAGCTCTTCTAGGACTTATATACGGATGGACGGACAGACGCACAGACGGCCATACACACGGGTGTGGCTAGATCGACTCGTCCGTTGATCAACAAAATATATAGCTTAGGGATCGGATATGCTTCCTTTTGTCTGTTACATACATTGACATTTGCAAAAACATTATACCCTTATTACCCATTTTAATAGGTTCAGGGTATAATAACCAAAGAGAGCAAAGGAGACGGATATAAATTTTGTGACAAGCAGGTCGCCAGTCAAGAATATGTACGCATATACCAAACCAACACAAGCGAAGTGCGCATGGTGACAAAGTATTTATGTATATGCAAGGATGCCCGTTTTGCGAAGAGTGTAGGCAACGACGGCTGTGAGGCAGGCATATCAATTAAAATTATGCTTGACTTGAAAACCGTTTCAAAG